TGAGATAGAAAGGCACATTTCAGCCAACACAGACTTCCAAGAAAGAAAATCCAATTGCAATAGCTCTATTTAAAACACATCAGCATTAAATTACAAAACAGCATTAAATACAAAAGGTTCAAAACCCAAAATGCAGATAATTAATAGAGTCAGACCAGGATCACTGCTTACAGTCATGACTCGTGTTTTACCTACAACTAAGGTAAAAGGTTCTAAGCTTCCCAAATGCATGGGAGAGCATGCTCCCAGAGCAGCTCCCCAGAGACTAGCAGATCTTCCTGCCACAGTTTCTTCTAATATATACCTTTACTTCATTCCACTCAGTACTTCCTGCTCTGTCTTCTACTCATCATTGTTATGAGAGCATTCAAGACTGAGGAGATGAAGTCACACTGAGCCAGGCACTGAGGAGGTACATGAAAGCCCAGAGTCTCTGTACTCCAGTGTTCAAGTTTATAACTATTTTCACTGGAGGTTTTAACCAAAAAAGAGAATATAGCGGTCAAAATATCTTTGTTAGCACTGGAAGTGGAAATAGAATCCACAATCCTCAGTATCCATTCCAGCCTCACTTTCCTTTATTTCAATGTGCTCCACAAGAGTGATATACAGAACAGAAGAGGAGAAGCCAGGTGACAGTAAGGCCATGTTGTTATTTGGACTAACCGTGTGCCAACCCAATATTGATACTGGACCCTGGAATGTGATTATAAGAAAATAGCTAGAAATAAATAATACTTTTATCATCAAAGACAATTATTTGCCTTTTCTGATGTTTGACTTCTCTTTCACAGGTAAATAATAACAACAGTATCTCCCTTTTCTTGCACAACCTGAACAAACATAAATACTTTTCTGCTTTACATGTCAATCTCCTGTAAAAAAAATAAAATACCTGTTTTTTAAAATCCTATTAATTATCTGAGAATTTCCAAAGGGATTCTGCTAGAAGGTTTTCTGTGGCAATTATACAAGACCAAATTTTGTGTACATGGCCCGGTACATTACCAACCCTCCATGCTGGTCATTTACATTGCAAATTCAAGACTCAGTTGTCAGCTATTCACATCCTGCAAGGTCTTCGTCCTTCAGCCACTTCTGCTTCACATGCTTATTCCTTCCCACAGGTATCTAAATTTCAGATTATTCCTCACATACCTTTTTTGCTGAAAGTACCAAATTTCATTTGGTACTTCCCTACATGTCTACTTTTCTGTAGTCCACTTGTGTTATTTACCATGATCCAACTTCTGCATACTCTGATACAGTACAGGAGAGCACAAACTGGCAGCAGAGGAGAGCACACACTGGCACCAGTGGAGAGCACACACTGGCGCCAGTGGAGAGCGCACACTGGCACCAGTGGAGAGCGCACACTGGCACCAGTGGAGAGCACACACTGGCGCCAGTGGAGAGCGCACACTGGCACCAGTGGAGAGCGCACACTGGCACCAGTGGAGAGCACACACTGGCAGCAGAGGAAAGCACACACTGGCACCAGTGGAGAGCACACACTGGCAGCAGCTCTGCGAGCGGCTCCCCCGCAGCCCCACGGGCAAACCACAGCAGCCAGGGGACACTGGAGCTTCCTGCAGAGTTGCCTGGGCTACAGAGACCTGGCTCACAGTGAGCGGTCCAGTGCAGATCAGATACTGGGGAAGAAGGCAATGGCTTTCCAAACCTGTTTCTCCTTTCTGCAAGTTTCTAGTTTTTCTTGTTCACATAGAAAAGGTCAATATAAAGATTAAAAAAAAAAAACCTCTAAGTTTTTTTCTAGTACAGGGTTACTTCTGACATTTGAAGTTACAAATTTCATAGTAGTTAATTAGTGGTAACAGTGTTACCTAGTGGTCATAGAAAAAGGCTATCAAGAAAAACTTCACTATAATAATTTAAAATATTGACAAACATACCTTCATTTGTTGTATACGAAAAGAAAAGGATCCACAGAGTACAGGGTGCAGCACTTGGGAGCCTTGCCATTATTGACAATGGTCAGGTTCAGTAGGAAAAACTGTGCTGCAATTCTGCCAACAGAAAACATAATAAGCTTATATCCCTGTCTCAGTTAAGGTAAAGGTGTAGCTTTCCCTACCACTTCTGCTAGATGTTAGAATTCAGACTCCCTGCTGTACCTGTTTCCCACCTCTGGAACCTAAAATTAGCTCATGGAATGAGACATGTAGAAGAATAAGGAGAACACAAATGAGCTAGAAGAGTTTTCTGCAAAATTTCCATTACAGAGGATACGGGACTGACATTGGCAGTGGAGCTGCTCTCTTTAGCTACTAGAAAAGAAAGGCTGCTAGTATGTAAAGGGTAATAAAGGGCAAGCACTGGACCAAAACCAGTGACGTCACCAAAGCCTTATGATTCCACTCTGATAAGAAAAAGAATTTAAGAATGAAGTGTCCAATCTATTGACTAAAATGTTTTCTCCAAGTCCTGTCACCAGTACCTTGAAAATCTGAGTATCAACTCTTTAAGAAAAGAATTTTAGCAAAGAACTCTGAGCATTGCTCCAAAAGAATACAGATTCATTAAAATATTAATTATTAAAAAGTTGTAAAACACACCTAATTATGATATAACCAGAACAACTTTGGAAAAGGAAAATAATGCAGCTTTTATGTCCCTAAGCATAGCAAAACTGTCTAGGTAAATTGAAAACAGATGAAATAATTAATTTCAGAATTAAAAATAGCAAGTGCCCCCAAGATTTTTTTACCAATATAGCTACTTAATGCCTAAGATAAGGCTACCAGCTTTCATATAACTATAAACGGATATCAGGCATTTAAAATTTTGGTAAATGTGTAAGTGAAGTCATGCTAATATGCTTTTGGCTTTGTTTTCAGTATAAAGAGGGATAAAATTTGTTCAGCAGCACATTGTTAAGACACAACCCTTTGGTCCCTTCCTCTCATGCTTTTGGAATTTTATAACTTTCATATCTGGACAGAGTGTTCTTGCTGCCTGCAAGCTTCAGCTGTTCTGTTTATACCTGTAGGGCTCCCAGGTAGTATCCTAGTTTTTATTTCAAGGGAAGGGAAGGGAAATCCTCTTCAGCAGGTGAATGGTACTGGGTGTTCTGTATAAGATTGGTCAGACTCTGAAGCAGAAAAGACCACTAGAAGGTATTTTTGGATGGTGGTTCAATACTCTCTTTCCCAAACCAACCATGCAGCAGAACCACATTATATGTGTCTGACAAAGGTGAGTCTGTCTGTCTGATTGAATATATCCACCTTAAAAGTTAAAGGATAAGGACATTGTTAGTCAAAATAGAAGATCAGAATGGAGACTCTTCTGTGACCTTCTCTGGGGCAGTCACTGCTCATCGAGTAATAAAGAACAAACCTGAAAGACAAATTTCTCATAAGAGCTTGAGAAAACTATTACTCAAGAGCTGAGTTTTTTCATATTCTGAGAATAGATGAAATGTTACTAAGCACAGTAATACATTTTTTTTAAAAGAACACAAGCACCTTTGCTGCTGCTCAGAAAAAAAGAGCCAACTGCTCTGGCATAAAAAAAAAATTCATTTCCCTTTTTCCTGGAATTCTCAAGAGAGGAAGCATTTGCAGCTTTCCACTGTTAGGTAATACTGCCACATGACTGGAGTTCCAAGAAACTCTTGGAACTTTGGCAAAGAATCCTGAATCACGTAAGCATGTCCAAATGAGCAGATGGCAGACCAAAACCATCTTCTCGTGGAAGAATGGATCTGCACATGTGGATGAAAGTGGAGTTAAGCCAGTGCTTTAATGAAACTGCAAAAGGAGAAAATTTTAAAAAATCCACAGCTCTTCTGCCTGTTACCTCTTAAGTTTTTCATTATACCAATCTCAAAAAAGTATGTAACACATATAGACAATATTAAAATTGCAGCAAACCTAGTAGCTCTGATATACTTGAGGAAAGTAAATTGCAAAGACATAAGTTACTTCCCTAAAACCAGGAAAGAAATCTCTGTCAGGGTTAGAAGCAGATCTACATGGTTACTGGCACAAGCTACATGCTTTGATCACTTACCCTCTTGTTTCCTGAAAAAAAATAGGATGTGATTAGAATTATTTCATTTACTATCAAGAAAAATGGTACTAATTTTTGGTCTGGTCTTCTGTGGAAATTAGGGTCACATTTCATTAACAGGTATAATCTGCAAAACTGTTATGTGCAAAGAGTAACTCTGCCCAAACCAAGAGGTCATATTAAACAAGACTGCTTAATGCACGGTTGCTGCAATTGTACAGCTAAAACATCTTTCCCTGTTTAAAACTGCCTCTTTCTAAAACTGATGCACATCTTGTCTTACTCTCTAGTTTAAAGCGTTGACTAGAAACGCTGAATAGAATGAGACAAGCGGTACATAGCAGAGCAAAAGGTTCAGCAACAGATTCTGCATCAAACCTTGAAAAGAAAACCCGTGCGGAGTGTACTGCCTTGTGCCGAGAAACCTCTCCTTTCCGGCGCTCAGCACGAGCCGCTCCGGAGCTCCGCCGGCCCGCGGGCACAGGGGGGCGCAGCCGGAGCGCCGCGCTGGGCACGGCCGGGAACGGCTCCGGCCGGGAACGCGGGCCGGGACAGGCGCGCCCCGCACGAACACTTCGGAGAACTACAACTTCTGCGTAAAATACTGTAAAAGGAGCACTCGCGTCGAACAGCTTCAGGAAAGAGAAGCGATTCTGGCCGCGGGTTCCAGCCGGAGCCACCGCACGGGACGGGCCCAGGGATCCGCGCCCGGCCAAGCCCCGGAGGGAGCACGGACCTTCCGCCCTCGCCAGAACCGGCACGGAGAAAAACGCAGACCGCACAAAGGGCACGCCAAGCGCACGCAACGAGCAGGAGCCGGTCCTGACGCCAGGACGAAGGGGCCGCCAGACGTACCTTGCGTCTATCGGCGCCCGCTCCGGCCCCGAGCGCTCCCGGCCCCGGACGCGGCTGGGCCCGGCCCGGGCCCTGCGCCCGCCGCGGGGCGGGGCCGGGGCCGGGCCGTTGATGGCGGGCGCGCGCAGCCGCAGCTGAGCAGGCGAGCACGGGCGGGTGCGGCGGGGGCTGAGGCTGAGGTGGGGCGCCGAGGCTGAGGTGGGGCGCCGAGGCTGAGGTGGGGCTGAGGCTGAGGTGGGGCTGAGGCTGAGGTGGGGCGCCGGCACCGCGGTGGGAGCCCCGGGGAACCTCGGTAGGGCCCGGCTGGGCCGAGGGCTGGCGGGCCGGGCGTTTTTCCGGGGCATTGCCTCCGTCTGCTGCGGCTGGCCCGGGGCCGCCCGGGCGGCGAGGCCGGAGCTCAGCCCGAAGCGGGCATTCGGGTGGTGCAGTGGTCAGGGAATTTCCTGAGCTGCCTTTAATTACTTCAGGTGCTCTTCGAAACCTGTTGAGGCTTGTTGCCTGTGCTCAGATGAGGCTGTGTGGGGAGCAGGAGCTTGATCTGACACAGAAGGACAGGCGGGGTTGTGTTTGTCACCCGGCGCTGCTGTTGTCGCGTTTGCAAATACCGCAGGGCGCGTTTTGTAGCGGTTAGTGGGGCGTGGGGCGCTCTCCAGCTCCCGTTCCTAGCAGGCCAAACCGGCCCGATCCCGTTTGCTCAGCAACATGCTCTGCAGCTTCCATGAAAGCTGCGCCGCATGGAGAAGATCTCTGTCAGGGTTTAGAGGCTCAGTGGCCACCGGGGGTGCCTGAAGCCCTCCAGGAGCACCGTGTGAGACTAACTGCAGACTCGAGCGACTACCATGTGTATAACCTTGAGCCAACTGTGCGTGTTGAGCAGGAGTCATTCCCCTGTGTATCAGTGCTGCAATAAAGTATTGCTTGCTTTTTAATACTACACTGGTGTTAAGAAGGAGTTTGATTCCCGATTTTGGGTGGCAATGACACAACACTGTTCTTTTCTGCAGCTAAAACTAGTTGGATTTTATCTCTTGTACCCTTCCAGAACCTCCGAGCTGGTCACCCTCTGCATTCTGAGGACAATCTTGGGATCTGCTTTTTTTGCCTTCATTCAATGTAATAGACTTTAATTAAAATCTTGTGTATACTTGGACTGTTGTATTCTTAATTTGCATTAACATGTGCATTAATTCCACCTTAAACATCCTGCAGCACTTGAAGCCTGGTGAAATACTGATGGCAGCTCAGATGACCAATGCTCATCGGCGGTTCTTGCAGGTTCTGATGTCTAATGGGATAACAGAAGGATCAGAGGCCAGAAAATTACACCAGCACTGCTGTGAAACTGATAAAGGTGTGTCTGTCTTGGTGATGAAAGAACTGGATTTTTTTCCTGGTGCAGCTTGCAAATTTGATTTCTGAAGGGCATGCATCAGCTAAAAAAAGTTTAAAAACTGTAATGGTATGAGTGTTCTGTCTCTTTCCTGAAAGATAAAATTATACAGCAATGAGTAAACTAACTTCTAATCAGGCCAGATTCGTATATAGTACTTTTTATTTTGCCAAGGTTGTTGTTTATTGGTTATACATATAGACGATTTTTAAAAATAATTTTTGACACTGGAAGTACTTCACTATATTGAATGCTTTTAAGTAAATGCACTTCAGTCATTTCTCCCAGGTGTTGTGGGAGAAGTGACTGCTGCAAAAATATTTCTATGAGGGTGAGCAATTCCTGATGAATTGCTGTGCTTTCTTTCCACCTCACCTGCAATGTATTGTCCATTCCAAGTCCTGGAAGCTGTGCTCCTGCTAGGCTTAGGAGTGTCCCTGTGCCATGCCACCATGCTACTCTGCAGGGACTCTTCTGGTTTTCTGTGAATTTGTACCCTTACCCATAATGCAACATCAGATTCCCACAAAGTAATATATTTATATAGATTATAGTAATCTATTTGTATAGTCTCTTGAGTCAGGAACTGTAACTTGACCTACTTCTTAGATGCTAAAATTGTGAAGTGCAACTTTTGGTGTTCTCTAACCCCTGTTCATTTTTTATGGAGAATTTTTATCCCTTTTTTCCACATGAGAACTACTCGAGCAGCCACTTAACATTAAAATGTAACATTAAAGTATTAAAGCTGTTGTACCCAAGAGTATTCTGTTACCGTTTCATCTTTTACCATCTCTGAGATCAGTCACTAAAGCTCCCTGGCTGCTGTGTGCAGTTTCCTGCTGACAGGGGCCAAGCCAGTGGCAAAACTGTACTTAATTTTGTACTTTACTATTGTTCTTGCTGTATGTTGGCATTGCTCACTGAGGGAATCTTGTATATCAGAAGCAGGAACTCCTGGGCAGGAGCATCCTATGAGGGCTGTTTGGCACTGGGCTGGATAGTGCGGTGCGCTTTGGGAGTGGGACTTGGCCCGGTGCTCCTAAGTGAGCAAGGGACTCCTGTGGCTGAGAACAGGATTAATTTCATGATAACTGGTTGTAATTTTAAACGTGAATCATTTATCTAAAATTATTAGCTGTTAGTTTGTGGCACCAGCTCTCTGGTCACAGAGAGCAACAAAGTCTTGTTTTGGATAGATGTGAGGGTTGTGCTGGTGCTGTGCAGGCAAGACCCATTGTATTCTCTTCCACAGAACTACTGCAAAGTCCATCCTAATTATGTCTATGATAAAACTGCTGCTAGTATTTGCTTGGTTTATAAAATGTGACTCAAGATATTTCTTCTTGTTTCTACAACACTGGAATTTTAGGTTTTCTGATATGTAACTTGAGCACTTATGTGCCATTAATTTGTGAAACAGAGCATACAGAAACAAGAAATCCCTTGTATATAAAGGAATTTAAATCAGTGTATTTTTCTGTTGTGCATAATATTTTTTCCCAGTCATATTTTATTTTCAATTCAGCTTAGTTCAGGTCACTGTAATTACTGGATCAGTGCTATGGGTTCCCTGCAACAAGGCAGAATGTCTGGACTCTGTCAACTGATTTTAAAGGAGCTGAGCATCTCTGAAGGTCATGAGACAGTAGCACAAGGAAATGCTATTTCTGCTGAATAGAACAGTTTGAATTCATGTTCGAATTCTGTCTCAGTTTTAGCAGTCTTACCTGGGAAAAAATGTTTCACATAAAAAGATCTGTCTGATGTATAGTTGTTTGACTTATGTTTTTTTTCTCTGTATGACTTTTCTCATTCTTTTTCAGTTTACTATGCACACGATAAACTGGATGATTTCATCAGCACTATTAACAGCCACCTGCAGCCTTTGTTTATGCAGATCCGGAAAGGAATATCAGAAGATGATGGGAGAGCACATTATGCTGTAGTAGGTACCTGCTGTGCTGTGTTTGCATGGGGCTGGCAGTGGCTGCAGGAGCTGCTGGGAGGTTCAACTGTCACAGCCCAGATGTATGGGAATAGGACACGGCAGCAAGGATGACAGCAGCGTTGGAGTTACTTAACATAAACATTGCTTAAGTGCTGAAGTGAGATTTCTTTTCCACTGGAGACTTTCTTTCCTGAGACAGATTTTTAAACTAGAAAACACAGAGAGCTATTCAACATCAGTTTTCTTTTTCTCCCACTCAAAAATCAACCTAGCACAAAAGGGTTGCTAAGGAGTTGTACAAGTTGTTTCAATGTGCAGAGAAGGTTATCTGGTAATTTCAGAAGGCCATACAGAAGGTATCCTAAATTAGCTGCTGCCTTTAACCTTTCCGTTTTCCAGTTAAGTTGAGCTAATAATTAATAGTAGTAGCATGTGCAATAACAGTAGAAAACACGGGCAGCTGATTTTCACAGTGATTAAAAAGGTGACTGATAACATAGGTCTGGTGGTAGGCAGCAGCAGGAACTATCTAGCACCTGTGATGTGTCAGCTCTGCTGCAGCACTCTGTGTCAGTTCTGGGAGCTTGTGTTGTGGAATGGCTTTGCCTGGGCAGAGGAAGCTGTGGAGAATTTGTGGCTGGAACATGAGGGGTTGTAAAGAAAGAACTTGAGTACCATCAAGTGCCCCTAAAAGAATTAACATTTATGTTAATTGTAAGATGATGTATTCTTAACCCCAGGTTTTTTTTTACAGTTTCTGGTATGAAACTACATCGGCACTTTATATCATGTTATTTTTTGTAGGTGAATTTGGCGGAAACGGAAGTAACTAAAATGGCATCTGACTATACAGAAATTGAATTGGAATTGTTCAGAAAAACAGTATGTATGTCAGTTATCACTTAGTAAATCACATTATTTGTGAAGCTGTCATCTTAAAATGAATGAAAATGGAAATGGAGATGTGGTTGAAGAAGTAGTTGCCATTTCACCTAAGTTTATCTGAGATCAAATGGATGGGGTGGGCAGGGATGAAAGTATGTGCAAGTAATGATTTGCTGTTGTTAGTCAGTTATGGGTAAGGCAAAATCAGCACCAGGTAATGGCTCCTTGGGTTAGGGACAAGACATGCCTACTTCTAGTTATACAAGCAGATTTCTTCAGGATTTGCAGTCATAACTGCTGAGTTTTTCACTGGATTTAGTAGTTTAGTAAATATACAGTAGTTTTTAATGCTAGTAACTTACAAAATGAATTTGCAGATTTGCATTTAAATATTTGTCTATGGTTATTGAGGTTTTTCCTCAAAACACCTTTGACAAAGAGCAGATAAGAAGAAATGGATCTGTCACCACTGAGTGTGGTGTCCCTGAACACAGCTTTATTTAGGCAGCATGTATACTTCTATTTGTGGAAATGTTTTCTTGGCAAAGATCAAAATCTTAAGGAGACAATGAGTGTTTCACCTTTTGGCCTTTGTTTTACAATTCTGGGTCAAGCTGTATACTGTAGTATCTTTCACATACATGGATGCAAAAAAAAAAAATATGCACATCAGCACATTACTGTAAGGTGTGTCTGCCTAATTGCAGTGTTTCTAATACTTGGTAATGTTTCTTCCTGTAGATGGACCTAATAATTTTATCAGAAAATGGCTTTGCCTCATCTACAGATATTTTAAACTTGGCTGACCAACTTAAGACAAAGAAAATGAAGAAAAAAGAAGCAGAACAAGTGCTGAAAGTTTTTGTGGAGGATAAGTGGCTTTCTGAGGTAACTGCATTCAAGTGTTCTTAGTTCAAAGGGTCCAGCTACCATGTTCTTATGGATGTGGTAGCTGAGACTGGAGCTCTTCTGATGGCAAAAATGGTCTTATGGCACCCATGCTTATTGGTGCTCCAGTGATTTTTGCAGAAAAGGACTTAAATGGACAAAAGTCCTTGGGTAGGTCTGTACAGGACCATATGGTTTCGGTTCCTTTTACCGGAGCCAGGTGGGTTTGTGTGTCCAGTCCTGCCCAGTGATGCACAGACACAACAGCACAGCATCCTTTGTACATGGCTTTGTATGCAACAGCACAGCATCCTTCAACCTGGAACAGGAGTTGGGGAAAGCTCTTCAGAGTGATCAGTGCTGTTAGTTGCATTTGGAATTTCCAGACATGTTGAAAACTCCTGTACCAGAAATGCATGGGCCACTGTGCATGTTACCTGTTTTATTTTACGAGGAAGCAGTGGAAATGAGCTCACTATGTGGACCATGGTGGACTGACCACATGGATACTGTAGTTGCTTGCTCAGTGAGACCTTAATCCCTTTTCTGCTGAAGTCATTGCACCATAGATCTTCAACCAGCTGCCACACAGTTACTTACATGTTAAGTTGATTTGGCAGATATTTCCAAAGATACATCAAGCAGGAAATGCCTAGATTTTGTTGAAAGCTGGGAGAATTTCCTCTAACATTCTTTTTGGGAGGATCCCAAAACACCATACTGCTGTTAAGGAGTGCATGCTTGCTCATTTATGTTTTCCAAGGACTAGATCTCTGTTAAAGGTGTGGGATTTTTATTCTGCTCCTCTAAACAAAGGAGTTCTGCTATTTCAAAAGTGTTCTGGTGTTGCATTGTACCAGTATGATGGTTTCATGACAGTAGAATGGCTTGTTAACAGGTGGTTAGCAAAGTCAAAAAAGGTAAAGGAATGAAAGGAAATCCCTCATCTCAACATTTGTTTCCTTAGAAAAATGGAGACTACACTCTGCATACTCGTTGCATAATTGAGATGGAACAGTACATTCTCAGCAACTACCAGGATGTGGCAAGGAAATGTAACATCTGTCGCAGCCTTGCCATCCAGGTAACATGTTTTATCACCTCAGCCAATGGACTTGCATGGTTGTAGCTGAGGTTTGTGATGCTTTCTCTTGGGTATAATCTTGGTCTTGTAATCTGGTCATGGCGCTCGTGCATTTTGTAAAAAAATTTTTTTCTCCATTTTAGGCATTTTAGCTTCTGTCTTTAGAAATAAAATTGTCTTGGAGCAGTGTCTCCAAGTATAAAATGGCAAAAGTGCACTCCCACAATGAGGAACATGGTTGTGCTGTCTAGCTTTCCAAACCAGCAGGTTAGAGATGAGCTCCTGATGCTGAAAGAGGTTTAGCAGTCCTCTTTGGGCCTTGCCAGTAGATGTCATCGTGTGACACATTCATTCTTGGTTTTGGGATTTTAATTCAGGAATTGCTTGTGTTTGGACCTCAGAAGGAACACACGTGCTATGTAGAGCATGCTAAAGCACTGTGTTTTGATAGCTGGGATGTTACCATTCCATCTTGCTAAAGTAGTTACAGCCTGGATTCATATTCCAAAACTGCTACATTTTCTTGCTCTGTGAGCCTGCATCTTCTGATCTGCCCAACTAATACATGCTTCCATGTTACTTTTTCCATCCGAATTAGTCTCATTTATTGCACTGAAATTGCTGTCTTTCAAACTAAGTTTTGTCCATATAGGGAAATAGTATTTCCCAGTTTATAGAAAAAGACTTTCTTTTAGGATTTACCAACTTTGACTGTTGAGTGTGTCTACCACCCATATTGTGGGAACCATTCTTTGGAACAAAGCATTGTGTATCTGCTGCTCTTTGTAACAACCTTCTCTTAAATTGAAGGACAGTTTAGAATGATTTCATGAATCAACACTCCTGATTTCAGAGCCAAGTATGTGAATCCTGTGGAATTGGAATGCACTTACCTTGTGTCAGAAAGTACTTCAGAGGCCAGACTGAACCCCGCTGTCCCAAGTGTAATGAATTCTGGTCTTGTGACACCCCAGGTACTAAGCAATGTATTTTTAAAAAATTGAATGTAATAATACTAGGAAATGGGCTGTCATGTTCAGTGGCACTGCCTGTATTATTTATAACTGTATCAGCTATTTCTGACTCCAGTGGTACACTTCAGGCACTAAACCACACACAGGCAGCATTGAGCCCCCACAGTGCCCAAAGAGTGCCACAGGGGCATTAGCAGACCCTGTGCAAATTTTTTTATAACTATCTTTAGGAGGGGGAGAGGAGGGGGGAAGTAATAGAAGCACACACAACCCATGACACTAGAACTTCTGGAAATACCAAGCTTCTAAGAATCTCTTTGGATTTCCTCCATTTGTCCAGGGAAATTGGATATTGTGAACAGCAACAGAGGAATATACAAAGCATTTTAGAAAAGGTGGTTATACAACGTTAACTTTTTTTTGTGTGTTGTCCATTAACCTTCCTTTAGTTTTCTTTACAGGTGTGAATCGGATGGGTTCCAATGGTACAGACTTACCACAGAGCTCCACTCTTGGCCCTAGATGATGCCAGTAAAACTTGATGTCAGTGACATCTATTTGCCCCCACTCTGGCAGAACAGCCAGACTGTATTGTATTCATTAGTAACAGTGCTCAGTGTACTCATTTTCTAAAGTTCTTAGAATCTTAGAATAAAACTATCATTGATGTTCCTGTTCACAGTAATGCCTGCACAGCTTTCTTGGAGGCTGTTTTGTGTTTGTAATTCTCCATATTCTTGGGTTGGGACTCTCAGTGCATGTTTGGGGATGAAAGATGTAAATGTTTTAGTCAGTCCTGCAATTTGATATATGCAGCTAAACTCTTGAAAGAAGCCTTTCTCAACAAGTGCTCCTTGTTTGTACAGGAGCAGTACAAATTCAGTTGCACAATGGAAATGACACCTGCTGTGGTACATCAAGCAGGTGAAAAATCAGTGTGGTGTGCACAAGGCAGCTGGCTCAGTCTCTGACCTAGGGCCGGAGTTGGAACACTTCTAGCTGGCACTGTGGTTGTGTTTTGTCCCTTCTTTAGATGCAGAAGAATTTGTCTTGACATAAGGCCATGTCATGAGCAGCTGTGCTCTGTAAGGAGGGAATATTGCCACAGAAGGATTGGGAAGCAGTAGGGCAGGACTTGGGGCAGTGTCAGCTTATGTCTGCAAACTGCTGAAAACATTACCATACTGCGACTCTTTAGGTTTTTCATCTTGGCACTTCTGTCTCCAGTTTTAAGAAAGGATTCTTTTTCCTTTAAGAGTGAACTTGGAAAGGAGCCAAGGACTGGCTATTGCCAGACACCAGACTAAAATGGCAGCATCCTTGTCCTTGGTAGAGATATGTGACACAGCAGAAGAGCTGTGGCAGCAGTTCATATGATGGTGAATCAAAATATAATTAAACTTCAGGTTATCTAACTGCAATGAAACTATGGATTAACTTCAGTTATGTTCTAGGCTTTAATAGGATGTTGTGGTTTAGAAACAGTACTCCCCAAATTAGTGTTCCCACCAAAACACTCCAAACCATGAAATGCTTGCGCATTTCCTCTTCCCCCTACCTCTTCCCTCATGGACAGGAGAATTGGGAGGTCCAAAAGGTAAAGACCATGAGTTGCAATAAGAACAATTTACTGGAAACAGCAATGGAATAAGAAAATGAGCAGTAATAGCAACAATCTCAATAACAGTGTACAAGAGAGACAAAAGATTCACACAGATTCAGTCACTGTAATACCAAGGAGCCCGTTCCTGCCCCTGGCCTGCAGCAGTGGCAGGCTGAGGTAGTACAACATAACCTCTGGGTCTGGGCCATGCCGTTCCTGGCTACTGCAAAAATTAACCCTATCCTGGCCAGAACCAGCACATGAGTAACTTTTTTCATGCAGGAGACTAGTACCTTGCTTGGTGTTAGCTTAATTTTTTCATTGATTGAATCTTCAGGTAGCACCATCTCTCTAGCTAAGTCCAGGGTTTTATTTACCAAATCCAAGTAGAAGATAACCCTGACCTGGTTATTGAGACAGGCTCAGGGAGAGCCCTGGCAGTGCCCATACAGAGGCTCTTTCTGATGGATGCACACACAGGCCAATGACCTAACATATGCTATTTAGGAGTTATTAGAAACATATACAAAAATGAAGTGACAACAGCATCATCCTTCCACTTACCCATTATGACTACTTCTCCATGCTTTAGCAAGAGTTTGTTGGTTTTGCTCCATCTCTAACCTCTTCTGAAAGAGAGATGCTACTTGCCTGATTTTTAATTTAATTTCAGTGCTGCTGACTACATTTCAGAACTATGACCACCAGAAACTAACAGAGAAGCTGAGCTCAAGCGATCGCACATAGTGCCAATATTTAACTGGAATAAACAGAATCTGCCCAGGCATCAGAATGCAGGACTGAAATGCAGCCTTTGTGAAATTTGGAAACTTGACCAAGTCTGGATCTTCCACATCAACCTATAAAAAAACAATCATCAGAAGAATGTCTTTACTCAAATATGATTTGATAACATTACTGATACTAAAATTTCAGGCAACTATTTACCTGACTGGTGTTGTGAAGAATTTGGCTTTCATGGGGGTATAGGTTTTCTGAATCTTGTGGTGAATAGAGACGGATATACTTTTTTCCAAATACCTGTACATAATAAATGTTTTCCATTGGTCATTAACTGGCACATTACTGGAAGCTGTGTGCCATAGCTGGCATTTAACAGTAAAATATACCTGATTACAAGGAACATAATTATTGTTAGTAATAGACACTGCTATAATAAAAAGTTAAATCAGGCTATTGGAATTCAAGTACCTCTTCCCTTGGAACAGATAAGAATTTGAAATACCTTTGGGAAGGAAATGCTTTTAACCAGATTGCTTTCAATTTCAAAACCCTGCTTTCCAGAAGTGCTGGCTTTGGCTGGGGTAGAACTAATTTTCTTCCAAGTGGCTGGTATAGGACTATGTTTTGGATTTGTACGGAACACAGGGTTGATAATATAGAAACGTTTTTGTTATTGCTGAGCAGGGTTTACACAGATCTGAAGCCTTTTCTGTCTATCATACTGCCATGCTGGCAAGGAAGTTGGAGGTACCTGGGAGACTGGAGGAGACACAACCAGGACAGGTGACCTAAACTGACTGACCAACAGATATTCCAGACTACGTGACATCATGCTTAGTATATGGGGGAAGAAGAAGAAAGGGGGGATGTTTGGAGTAACAGTGTTTGTCCCCCCCAGTAATTGTTAAGCATGATGGGCTCTGCTCTCCCGAATGACTGAACGCCCTGGTGTTCCCCTGCCCATGGGAAGCAGTCAAGTAATTCTTTGTTTTGCTTTACCTACATGCACGGTTTTTGCCTATTAAACCTCAATCCAAAGCTTTCTAGCTTTTACTCTCCCCATTCTCTCCCTCATCCTGCTGGCTGGGGAATGAGAAAGTGGCTGCATGAGGCTTGGGGATTCGCTGGGCTCAAACCACAACACCAGGAAAATAAACTCCTTAGTACAACATGACAGGATCCAGATTCTTGTAACTCTGTTACAAATTCCATGTGACCTTGGAAAATCTGCTTCTTGTGATTTCTATCTATCATCTGTAAAACAAGGGGAAGTAATGGTCTCTCAATGAGCAACACCTGTGGTCTATAAGATTACATTCAGTAGTAAGTTGCAGTAGTGACAAATACAACAAAGTAGCAAAATAGTATCTGCATGTTCTCTAACCTTCAATTGTTCAAGTTGTCTGCTCCCCTTGTCTCTAGCATATACCATAAACATTTTCTCTAAGTTTTGCATTAATGGCATGTGTACAGCAAGTAGAGTACATACCTGGGCTAAAAAATTTTGCTGGGGATCCTGATGAAGAGGTGAGATTGTGCCTCCTGGACCAAACCAGGCATTAATGGTGATGTCATCTTCTTCCCCTTCACCCAGGCAGCAGTAGTCAGGGATACTGATATCTTCTTTCAGTTCTGGGATCTATTTCCACAAAGAAAGAAACATTGAAAAGGGTATGTGCTGACTTGCCAAAATATGTAATTCATCAAACAGATGAGCAAGGCTAGATGAAAAGAAAACAAATGACTGGCTGGTATAGCAAGGGTAGGAGAAAAGCAGCTGACCTGCTAGGAATCTGCAGGAAATGTTCTCAAACTTTCTGTTCTAGTGAGCAGACTCTGTTGGAAGGAGAAGCAGGAGAAAGAAAGGGGTTTCCTCATTCTTCAGAGACCCTTTGCTTTTGCAGAAATCAGAGACACCCACAAGAATAAGTACATTTGCTCTTCATGGAAAAGGAGCAGCTATCTCTTCTATACTATGTTTGCTTCTCTGTGAAATTCCTTTTTATGTCTCACACCAACAAAAGCTCCAGTAAACTGGAATGACACTTCAGATTATGGTAAACATATTAATGTTGAAAACTTTCCTGTCCAAATCTTTTCCCTGACTTATGAAAGGGGCTTTCCAGGTGATATCCCCCTAAGTATAAGCTACATTGTACTGAAACAGCACTAGGATTGAATGTCTTCATCCTAAACAGGATTTGTTTCCATGTCCTGTAGCCAAATGGACAAACTTCTCCCTCTGATCCTTTAAATTATGGGAATAGAAACTTCAGAATTACTGTGAATTCTCCATATGCCCTTCAATCTAGTACAGTCAACATCTTGAGAGACAACTTGTGCTACAAAAGGAAGACATGACTGTAGGAAGATAAAAACATTCACTCAGTTTTACCTGATCAAAAAGCTGGTGCTGGGCAAGGTATCCTACATTGCTCTGAAATGATAGCAGAGGAAGAAAAAACACAGTAACATACAGGTAAGACAGTGAATTAATTTACTTACATGTGAATAGAATTTACTTATAGTAAATTCCAGTGTCCTGTTCAGAGTACTGTACATAACTATTTCACCAGTATAAGGTGTCTTCAGAAACAGCACCTTACAGCTCCACTGAAATAGTGAGAATGTAGGTGTGTCTCCACAATGAATAAATCATCCAGCTTGAGTTACTGAAGGAAGCTGGGACTCCCTATGGAGCCTTGACAGCTGACAATGCACTGCATCTTTCTAGCCAGACGCTGCTGGCACACAGACCAGTTCTCCTTCACGCCCTGGAACTACTTCCATACTCTACTGCAGGGTACACCACAGATCAATTTGCTATGGCACATAATCCTTCCTGCCAGAAGGCCAGGAAACAGAAATGGGGGCTTGGGATCCTCATCTGTGAAAGCAAAAGGACATCCCAGATGCTAATCAACTTTGTATTTTTTTGCCTCATGGCTTGTAAATTTGGATCTGATCCTAAATCTCACTAAGCAGTTTAATGAGAAAGAGGAACAACACTGCTGGCTGAGGATCCCTTATTCTTGGATTCCACCATTCAGGTTTTTGCTGCATATGTATGTGTGTATATATTAATCAAATTCCAGCTATGGTACATTTGATTATAGGTAAAAATCAAATCTATTGTTGCAATAATTATTCCTGGCTTCAGGTCTTGAAAATATGTCAAATCTTTTAATTCAGAGCTGTGCTTACAGTACACCCCCTCCTCTGATATCACCTCTGAGTAGGTTTGTTGTAAACAGAAGTGTTGTCAGTACCATGCTGCTGTGTTTGGAGATGAAACAAAGGAGTGTAACAGACCTCATCCATGATATACTGGCTGACGAAGTCACTGACAGTCATGAGCTGCTGAGACCATTCCTCATCTGTATACCGAGCACCCAGCTCCACGGGGACTGTGCGGCACCCTGCGACTTGACAGAAATAGTCCACACTGAAATAAAGAAAATTCCATTACCTTCTATACTGCTCTTATTAACTTTGAATGTAAGGCAATCAACCCAAATCAATTTTGTTGGGTAATGAAATTCTACTACCCTGAGTTTCTCCTGTCTAAATCAAACGAACCAGAAGAAAAAGGCAGAATAAAAGAACGCAAGCAACCAGGAAATCAGCAGGCATGTTTGTGTGTACATGACCCCACAACTTTCTCTTTTGTTTTGGTTTAAAAACCTGTTTGCCTCAGTTGTTTCATTCCAAAATAAGAAGTTTTAAGCTGTTACTGTCTCTTGGCAAGGATGGCCAATCCTTTTTCTGCCTGCTGCCACATTTGATAAAATGTTGTATCTTTTACTCAGTAACATTAGATCAACTCTCTGTCAGTGTCTATACAGGTGCCAATAATACCCATTCCAATTGTAGCCAGAGGGGTTAATTTGATGGGTGAATACATCTCTCCATGGAGAACAGCACTAATTAAACTGAAAAGTTAATCTTGTTAAGTGTCTAAAGTGAACCAGTGCAGTACCTTCACTCAAAAATTAATTAAATCGCTACAACATAACAAGTGTGCGCACATAATTTTACCTTTGGTTGTTGAACAAAAGCAATTACTCAAACTAAACATGAGTGATTTTTCCCCTTTTCTGGGGAATCATGACCTTCACCTCACAAATATTTGATGCTCAGTATTGGAAATGTGGGCACTATTGCGTGCAGTAACCAGGCAGCACAATGCTGTTACTCAGTCCTGCACAGGCGTGTCTGAAACTCAACACTCTATAACACAACACTGAACAAACATCAGTGCTTGGACTTATGAATGAAAAAGCCAACCATGCTTACTCTTGGCTCTGAATTCACGTTCTATTGCAGTAATTATTGGAAAGCTCCAAGAGGTAAAAACCACTGATATGTGTGCTTGACACAGATCCACTGAGCTTTGAACAGCTCACTGGCACTTTGCAATGTGCACTTCTCGTGAGTTCCCAGGTGTTGGGCTCCTGGGACGGCTAAAGGCACGGCAGAGGGTGGCCTTCACCCATGAAGAGCCACAGGCTGGTCAAAGAGTACCTTTGGCTCCGAGACAGGGTAGCATCCACCTTGAATGCTTTGAAGAGCTTCCCTCATCCATGAAGCCACTTCCACAGAGCAGTGGGACAGTACTGCTAGCAAAATGCACTGCCCACGGTATCCATCACCCGGGAAGGGCTGCTGCTCTATCGAGCATCATGATATCCAACACAAGGAACGATCGTGCCTTCACTTGGACAGGGAAGGAACTTACTTCTCACCTCCACTTCTTCATACACGGCCAGTGATCCATGACGCCCTCCAGGACCACGGGCCGCTGGGGAAGGAGGTAGTTGTCTCTGAAGTGCTCCAGCGAAGGACAGCGAAGGTGCGGAATGGCCTCGTGGGGCTGCAGGGCGGGGGGCGGCCCCCGCGGCCGGCCGCTCGGGAGCGGCCGCTGCCCGTCAGGCGCGCGCGGGGCAGCGCGGGGCAGGCGCGGCTGCAGCGCGCGCACCAGGCGCGCCAGGACGTTGTCCAGCACGGCGGCGCCCATCAGCAGCCCCAGGTCGCAGAGCCGCACGGCGCGCGACAGCGGGCGGCCCGCGGCCACCTCGGCCAGCGCCCCGAACAGGCAGCCGTAGGCGTAGACCTGGCGCCAGCCCTTGCCGACCTCCCTCCATGGCCCCGCGTTCAGCTTCTCCCAGGAGTAGTCACGCAGGACGTCGCTGAGGCGCTCCAGCGCCGCTGCCGCTGCCGCCTCAGGTCGGCCCGCCGCGCCGTAGAGCAGCGCGCGGGCCCGCCGCAGCAGCGGCAGGACGCAGTCCTCCACCTCGCCGCTCAGCGCCAAGGTCAGCCCCTCCTCGGCGCGGGGCAGCAGCGCCCGCACCTCGGCCCACAGCGCGGGGCTGTCGCCCTCGCCTTCCGCGCTGCCGGTCCTCGCCATGGCCGCGCCCGCGCCGACGTCCGCGAGGCGGCGCAGTCGGGCCGGTTCGGGGCGGGCCGGGGCTGAGGGGCCCGGGGCTGGGGCGGGGCCCGGGGCGGGGCCCGGCGCTGAGGCGGCGCTCGGAGGGCAGTCGCGGTGTCCGCGCCGGTACCGGCGCTTCTGTTGTACTGGCGAAGCTCGGTCTCGTCGTTCTTACCTGTGCACTAGACCAGCCAGTCAGCTGGAATTGCGTGACTGTGATCGGCGCTGCTTTCGTAGTAAAGGGGAGCCCGCAGACGCGGCGAAGGTCACGGTCCCTTCTCCGGCCGTTCCCCGGGGGCCGGCGTGAGGAGGTGGCTGCCTGCGCTGTGGAAGCCTCTCGGTCCCGGTGGCGGGACAGCGGAGCGCAGGCGGTGAGTGCTGGGGGAAAGGGAAGATGCGCTCTTCCCTTTTGTGCTGCAAGGAAACGCCTCTGCCCGGCCCCGCGGCGCTCCAGGAGCTCGAGCGGAGCCCGGCGCGGCGCCGAGCCCGTGTCCTCCCGCTGGCTCAGCTGCTGCCTGTTAATCTGCACATAGGATGTGCTTTCTGCATGGGATATGCACGGAAGTCTTCTTTCTAACGCTCTGGGCACAGCATCACTGAACCCCAGCTTGCTTTGAAAATGTGCCCTGAACGTTCTCGGGACTTAATACTTGACTGCAAAGGCAAAATAATATTTTACTTAGAATTCTGCAACTGAGGAATGTTTTGCAGGGTGAACCAAGCTAAATCATCATAAGAAGAAATGAGGAATTGTTAGCTCCTACTTAGGGTTGAAATCTTCAGATTTAAGACAAATCCTAATTTACAGAAAAAGTTAAAATAATCATTTTCTGTACTCAGACACTCGCTCTTCTTTGTTCCATGCTCAGTCACTGCTGCTTTCCAAAAAGGAAAAAAAAGTTTATGTGAATCCTTCTGTTGCTGCTCTTGGTGGCTCTCCCCCTGCCCCCAGCTGTCTCCTCGAAATGATCACTTCTGCTCTCACACTTCTCACACTTCAGACTTGTGCATTGCTTATCATGCTGGCCTGTCTATTGCCTGTCTTCTGACTGCCTTTCTCTTAGCACCTTAAATTCTTTCTGTGACAGTGTGATTTTAGCACCTTCATTCAGTATTTTCTCCTTAACTGCTAAATGTTAATATATGCTGCTATAGGAGAAAGTATTTAAGTGGTGAGGAGATTTTCTTGTTAGACTCTGTGTTCATTATTTGCAATTGAGGATGATAGCAAGTGTTGTTAGTCTTGTGTTTGTGGGCTGTCCACTTTTATAACCACTTACATTAGCTTTTATTTGCATTTAGGTTAGTTAATACAATTCTCATTAAATAATAGTTTTTGTAATTTAAATATGAGTAATATTTTCATGAGTTTCACTTTGAAGATTAGGATTTTCTTTCTGGAATTTCAAACAAAACCAAGGTCTGAACAAGTAATCTCCAGCCCAGCAGTGGGGCATTGAGGCCATGATGAGCTTTATCAGTTTCACTTCAGGTGATTTTAGATTTTGAGTACTCAGGGAGGCTGTGTTCCTCTGTAAGCATACACTGGAAGACAATTATTTCTAGTCAGTTTTGGTGCAATAGTTTGAATTCTGATACAGCATCAATAGTCTTGAATCACAGAATCAACTAGGTTGGAAAAGACCTTTGAGATCATCAAGTCAAAGCGAAGATCTAACGCTGCCTTGTCACCCGGACCGTGGCACTGAGTACCACTTCCAGACTTACCTTAAACACCTCCGTGGGCGGCCCGTTCCAACTTCCATTCAAACTTCTTAAGAATTTAAGAGAGCAACGTTTATAGTACATTTCATATAGCATATTCACATTTACACGCATAGAGACTAAACACTATGTACGAGGTATATACCTGTGAAAAATTCCCCTCGAATTCAGTGAAAGATTCACACTGGATGTCTTTGCACCTTCTCAACAGGCAAAGGTTTGAGCCTCAAGGAGTGGAGGCATCAGCCCAGGATCTATCTTGTCATTCAGCAGTGGTTGTCTGAGTATAGCAAACGAGAATTCACTGGCTCTGAGGGGCCCCACTCAAAAGGAGGTCATTGGTTGCAGCCTGCTGCAGTCCAGGAGAGTTCAAAGGGTCTCATTCAGGACCATTGTTTATAGGGTCTCGAGAGAGTGGGCTTCAGTCACAGTAATTTTTCATCCTGGCTGCAGTTCACTTTGGTAACTTTCTTTGAAATTTCAATAACAAAAATGTTTTTCCACTCGGGATGTTATTCAGGCAAGAAAAATAAGTTTCCAAGGCTGTTTGTTAAAAGCAGGAGCTCATTAGACAGCACCACTTCCTGGGAACAGACACTGTTTCTGATAAGCTCAAGAGGAGCTTGGCGCAGGTGCTGTTTGTCAAGGCCGAAGCCTAGCCAGCATTTCTTGGATTGTACTGTGGCCCAAGAAGGAATGAAGCAGATGCACTACAACAAGAACAAATCTTTAAAACAATCTTTATAGCTGCAGGTGCAAAGAAAACTGAATTTCGATATTTCTTATTGCTAATGAGCATTAATGAAAAACAGCCTTTCTCATGAGGCAGAAAACCCTGTTGTGATGAAGAAGGTAGAATATGTATTCCTGATTCTTCTATCATTTTCTTATTCAAGTGCCACAGAATGTCAGCTGCTGAACAGCTGATTGGCAGCCTGAAGGTCTGAGGCACAGAGACAGCTGGCTTGTAGTCAGCCTGTTTGGAACGCTGCTGCAGGTAGTAGACTTCCTGACAGGAGTGTGGAAGGAAGTGACGACACGGGTCCTTTATGTTTTTCTGTTTATCCAAATGGATGTGTAGCTTTGGCACCTCATTGCTAGTGAGGCAGAGGCCATTGGAGTTGTTAACAATGTTCTCCCAATGGCAAACAGAGGGCCAGGCTGGAGGAAAGTCTCTTGGCATTTAGATGATGTTGTACACTCTGGAAATGTAAGGCTTACTCGTCATTCCAGTAGTGCATTTCAAGAGCTGATGCAGGCTCCTGCCATTGTACTGATCTTGAGTGCACACAAGATTCCCTTTTTGTGCTAAGGGCTGGGACATGTAATTTTCATTAGCCACATTTTATATACATTTATGTACCTTAAAAGAAAGAATATTTATACATATAAACATTTTTGCCTTCCTCCCAAGATTTAAAAATCTCATTTGAAACTTGTGTTTGATTCATCCCTTGGACTAGAGCCATAAATGCTGCATGAATTTGTTTTGTGCTCTAAGTATACACATTTATCTGTGTTCCTAAATCACATTCTTATTAATGGGCACAGTGGTTGCACACCACAATTATTGGTTGTATTGCCTTTTGTTTCTGTGGATGCTTTTGAAAAATATTTTAAAGTCTTTGTTGGAGGTTGCATGTGCTTCAAAAATTAAATTTAGTCTGTAATTTTATTACACTTTTAATTTAATTTATCTTAACTGGTGCTTTCAAGCTGTGAACCAGCTGTTGACTTTGAAAAAAACATTGTTCAGTTTGAAAGGAGCATTTTAAAACTTAATGTAATGGCTGTAAGTAATCACTACAGCAATTATATTCTCTGGTGTTGTGCGTCACTATAGCAATATTAGAGGCTTGAAGAAAATGCAGGAAAGAAACCCGTCAGGTTCGTATGTTTCAGTTTTGTCTGCAGTGTCCAGCATCTGTCCGTTCTGTATAGCTTGGTGTCCCTGCTTGAATTGTGTTAGAAAATCAGAAGTTTGACTCTGTTGTGGCTCCATGTTTGCCCAGCAGCAATCAGGGGCTCTCGGCTGTGTTCTCCTTGGACTGGAGATGGGTTTTGATTTTTCCCATGTGGGCAGATGGTAGGTATGCTGCTCTGCTGCCTCCTCCTGACTCATTCCAAGATATTGTGTGGAATTTTGGGGTTGATTTTTCTTGAGCAGCTGTGTACCCACCTTGCCTGATGCTCATGATAGCAAAGTTCCTCACAAAGCACACAGAGAGTCTGGCCAGGATGGGAGATCTTAGTGTCCTGTAAGGCCAGGCTATGCTCCCACTGTGCTCTGGAAAGCATGGTAAGGAGAATTAGTAGAAATGGGTGTATTTTCATGCACGTTCTGAGAAGGAACAGCCTCCATTTATTTGTGAGTAACTCTCCAGTTCAGACAGGCTGGAGCTTTTGGGGAAGAGGATTTTCTGGATCACTGCAGTGAGGATAAGGGAAGAAGCATCCCTTCATGTTGTAATAGTCTATGAAAATGCTGTGCAGCTTCCTCTGCCCTGGAGATTCTCTGCATCATGATCTTTAAAGGAATATAATACACATCACTGTGGAAATACAGTGTATTTCCCAACAAGTCACCCAGCCATGCTTTACACACAGCTTGTGTTTGAGAACTGCGGACAACACTACTGCTCCAAAAAGGCGGTGCAGGACACACTGTCTCTGCTTTTGACAGAATCCCAGAATGGTTGGGCTTGGAAGGGGCCTCTGCAGATCATCTAGCCCAACCCACGGCTAAAGCAGGTCCACCTAGAGCAGGTGTTTTTGCCAGTGTGAGTTGCGGAGCAGGTTCAAGTCACCTGCCTAGCTACCATCAGTTCCTGTTAACAGTTTTGTGAAGTAACAGTGCAGGTGGGAAAAACCCCATGGGAAGCTTAGATTCAGCAATATACTAAACCTTCCCTAAATTTAATTTGTAGCAAGATCCTTCAGAATATGTATCTAATGACAGCAAGATCTGAGCTGATTGCAGTATAGTGACAATAAAAGGAAGGACAAGTATGCAGGGAGAAGGGGGCATTGTGAACTTTGGATGAATGGGAGACCAGGCTTACTACTGAAGCATAATTACAGATGTTTGGTTGCCATGGCTTTTAAGAAAGAATAGAATATGCATCTGGAAGTGTGTTTTGCGATGGCACTTGTAGTAGATGGTATTTGTGATACGACTGGGGTGATCCTTTGCTAAGAGGCAGCCGTGTCTTGGCATGGGAACACCCTGCTGGAATGTACGTTGCTGTAAAATGAAAAAATGAGATGCTCACAAGAATGAAGGCACAACTGTCTGTGTTTGCAGTGTGCATTTGTGGGACGTCCCCAGCAAAAGGAGTTTCAGTGTAGTTTCCTGTTTCTCCACCTGTGTGTAGTGCAGAGCAGAGCAAAAGCTACAGATCTGAGTGCGTTTCAGAGATCAGGCAGGTCCCTTCTGGACACATGTGGCAGAAGCTGGGGTGGTGATCACAGAGGTCACAAAGGGACAGAGACAGAATCCTCATTGTAACAAAGCCAATATGACACGTGAATTACACTATATCTTGTATGTGTGTGTGTATAAATGAGACACTTAAAGGAAGTAATTGCTGAGATGGAGACAGACATGAAACAGTGTGTTCTGGAAAGTTAAAAGCTTAGCCAGTGT